CTCGTTAATTTCGCGTGTTTATAAACTCGCGGGACGAAAAAGACTGCAGACTTTATGCAAATGATCAGGTCGCGAGCGTGCGAGAAGAAAGCTCGGAAAAATCGTGCGCAAACATAAATACATAATAATGACGGGATTAATAATAATAAAGCTCGCGTTGCAGAGCGTTCGCACTGCGGCGTGCTCGCGTCATGCTTGAGCATGTCCTACTCAAATGTAGCTATCGGTCACACACATTCGTCCGCATTTACATTAATTCACGCGAGCATTTACACTAACCTACATCTACATTAGTATTAATCATTCATATTTGTATTAATCGCGAGCAACGCAACCTGTGCGGGGAAGTCCGCGACATAAAGCAACGGCAGAATGCGGCAGCGAGACAACGGCGGTTGCGCGACGGTAAACGCGACGAATATTACGCGTGACGAATTACACGGCGAGGTGGAAGTACCATTTGAGGAGTGGCCGATCGTGTTTCACAGGAGACATCTCATCAGTCAGGACTTTTATACGCGCTTTCTGTGCTCATTCACACATACATACACATACACATACACACATACACACATACACACGCTCTCTCTCTCTCTCTCTCTCTCTCTCTCTCTCTCTCTCTCTCTCTCTCTCTCTCTCTCTCTCTCTCTCCCTCCCTCTCCCTCTCTCTCTCTCTCTCTCTCTCTCTCTCTCTCTCTCCCTCTCTTTCTCTCTGTTTCTCTCTTTCTTTCTCACCGCGAATTGCGTGATGATGCATCTTACATGTGTCCGCAAATTAGCCCCTCTCCCTCCCCTCTCACCGCCAATGCAAGAACGACCAGAACCTGCCGCAAAATTCATTTACGTGCTAGTAAAGTTTCGGCACCAAGATTTTCTTCATTGTCATTAAATCTTTCTACTGTTATTTTGTAAATCTTTAATTCTTTCACTATAATATAACATAACTTCCCGAGTAGAAAAATTAATATAGAGCTCTGGTGAAGGCCTGATTCTTTTCCCTAACATTAATCGGACCTTGGTAGGGATAGAAAAACAAGGGCCTTGCACGATGTAACAAATAGTAGAAAATTGGTCCTTATAAGGCAATATTATGAGGGCCTTATAAAATATATATATAATATATAATATATAAAACAGTATCAACAAGGCCTTATAAGGCAATATTAATAGGGCCTTATAGGGAAATATTTTTATTATTGCTTGAATAAATATATTCGTTGTTTTCATTCCAAGATATTTAAATTATAACTTTTTTTTATTTCTTTATAACCTTGTTAATATACAACAAGAATTTTTTTATTTTATTTTTAAAATTTATTTTAAGAATATAGAATACTTTACAATAAAATATAGCATTCTTTAGACATAAAAATTCTGCTATTGTTTTTATTGAAGTTTGCATTTCAAAACGAAGGCAATACTAGAAAAATCTTTAGAAGAGACTAATGAGTATGGCAATGAATAAAACTAATAAAATTTGTTTTTAATTGCGGTATAATTAAAAAAATCTTTAAAAAACCAGATAAAGCGTACCTACTAAAACAATGTTAAATTATGACAATTTTATTATCCGCTTCAGATCTTATTAATTTTTTATAACAAAACTTGATTTTGTATATCTAAAGCATCCTTAAAAGATCCTTCTAAGACTCTTCTCAGCTTTTCCTATCAAAACTTTATTTTGTAAAATCTAAGGCATCCCTAAAAGATCCATCTCGGAGCCTGATGTGGCAATAATGATGCATCCCTTTTTAGGATATCCTACTTTTCAGCCTTATCGGGCCTTATGCTTTATAAGGATGGCTCTAACAATTTTTTGCTCGGGTTGTATAATATAATTTTCTCTCTCTGTTATTATAATATAATTTAAGTTATTATAATATAATTTAAGTTATTATAATATAATTTAATTTGACACAATTTATTGAAATATAGTATATAATATAATTTATCATAACTCTTTTATTTTTCCAGAATGTTTTCCACTTTCTAAGAACAAGTTTTTTTCGATTGCAGCGCTCCGTATCGAAATGGAGGAGGCCAAACTTGATGCCTCCCCCCTCGCTTTTACCGCAAATTCCTGTCAGACGAGCGGAGCACAAAAAATCGGGACTCGGGGGCAACTAATTAGCATATAAATAGCACTAAGTTTACGATATGTCCCAGTCGTTGTTGCGTTTTTACGTTGGGGGAGGGGCTAGCTTGACAGGACTTTTGCACGCACGGTACGCACGCACGCACTCACGCACGAGCGAACGGATACACGAGTCTCACAAGCGACCGTGTATCATCCTTTGCGGCTTGTGCGAGCGGCGACATGTGTTTCCCGTGCGCGTCAACCCCGCGGCGCCGTATCTCGTACCGGAAGCGGAAATATCGGCGCGATATCGGCGTACACAAATTCTCATAGAGTCGGTCCGCATACATATCGACGCTTTGGCGGCGCCGCGTGGTTGAAACTGCAGCGACGGCACCCGTGTGTATACGTGCACACGGGGAAGAGAGCGCGTGTATTTGTGTATATTTATACACATATATATGCGATCTTGAGCGATGTCCTGGACGACACGGTGCATTCTCTTGCCGATGTTCAATTTAGAAATTTATGGCAACCCCGACTCGCGCACTCTTAACACACCGCTATCCACGTCGCGTGTTTCAATACAGAACGCACCGGAGTTGCAGCGTGTTTGTGACGGAGAGATATTTATTCCCCTTCGTTTTGCTTCTCTCGTCTCGATATATTCTTCACCGACCGGCTCGATGAATACGACGCGTCTGTCCCGCTCAGTCTCGTCGAGGTTTATTAAGCCGACGCTCGCGTGAACAATTTTATTTTTTACCACCAACGCGGGAGGTGGGGATATTTTTAATGCAAATTAATTAGAATAATTGCAAACTGTTTCTGTTTCTTTTTGCCGAGGGGAGAGATTGGAAGAGGATACCGGGCGATATGATTATAAATATTATCTAGAAATGCAGAGCAGTATACATGTATAACAAACATTTTACATACATGTGAAAAATTTCCAAGGTTTCTATGAAGCTCCGATGAATTCATCCCTCTCTCTCTCTCTCTCTCTCTCTCTCTCTCTCTCTCTCTCTCTCTCTCTCTCTCTCTCTCTCTCTCTCTCTCTTTTTCTCTGTAGGAGCATAATTAATAAAAATATTATCCCGAGATTGATTTGACGCGGTAGATGGTTATTATGCAGTATCTTATGTGCGATGAAAATTTGGAAAATAAGTCTGCCACATATCGTCGGGCATTTTTTTATTCTCCCGTCAGAGTCAAACGATCGCGTCCAATATTCAATGATGGTATATTTGAAACTTTTACATTTTTCTTTATAAGAATCTAATTCGGTCCTTTTTGGCCCAGATTTTCATGTGTAAACGTTAAAATGACGGTAGCGCGAAAGCGAAAAATTAATATTAAACTACGATCAGGTGTAGTTGCTTCTCTCTCTCTCTCTCTCTCTCTCTCTCTCTCTTTCCCTCTTGCTCCGACACGTCGATATTTCCCTTTCCGCTAGGAAATTCCAATTTTGTTCTTCGTTACCGTTTACATGTCGACAATACGTCACCGATCTTGCGCTGCTTCCGGGATGAATAGTCGCTGTTAAACAATACGCTTGCCGCACACGCTCCGCATAAATTCGTATGGAAACTTGTAATTATTTTCGACGTTACAGGACCCCACGTGAGATCTCTCCATTAAAGGGCCGCTTGAAGAGGATAATTATAAAAGTTCCACGAGGTTGAGAGCTTCTCAGAGCACCCCAGCGCACGGAATCGAAATTCCCTTCGGTCTGAGTCCTCCGACTCGGTGCTTTGCAATTTTCCGTTTACCGCGTCGGTGAAAGAAAGCCGGCTAATTCGAAAGAATAAAAATCGCGCGAAGGGGGCGCTCGCGCAATTTGCGAAACGGACGGAATAAAGCTGCGGGAGCGCAATTCGGGCGTTTCGGCAGCTTGGTGAAATTCCATCGTTGCGCCGCGCTGTATCGCTGCGCTCTGCCGACAACAGCAAGGATCGATACTGCCTGTTATTTGCGAATAAACACGCGTGTATCAACAAAAACCGATATTGCGTGTAACCTCGCTCCGTCGATCGCCCGTACTTCCAGCGAATATCTGCACTCTGCACGGATACGCGCATCTTCCGCGTTCCCGTCCGCGTAGAGACCGGGTCATCGTGGACTCCCTTTGTGCGTTTTAATATCCCCGCGTCTCGCGAGGCTCGTTACGCGACAAGAGAGCCGTCGCTTGTCCCGGACAACCGGTAAGAATGGCCACTTAATTAAGGTGGACTTTAATTAAATTAAAGTCTTTAATTAAGCCGCTCAAGTTAAACAAATAAATCTTTCCGCGCACACGCCGTGTAGGCGCTGGTATAAATGACTCAATTCTACGTAGGCGGTCTCTCGCGCAGTTTGCGCGCAATGCTAATCGTGTGTCGTTGTAATTAGTTTACACTTTAAACGGCCGGACGAAGACAGCCGCCAGCAGCTCGTAATGAGATCCGCGTTAAGCGCGAACGTCATAAATTTGTTCCCCAGCGGCGAAATGCATGTCCTCGCCGCAGTCGCACGCCCGAATTGCATTACGACGTATGTGGAGTGTCTCGCGGTCATGTTGTTAATCGACGATGCCTCGGCGAGACTTTTGTGCTTCTCTTTTGTGTCGGTTGCAAGCGGCTTTTGCTGCAGTAGAAATCCAGGACTTTCTCAGCCGCTCTCTCGCATGTCGGAGGTTTCTCGATCTTGGGTCGATCGAAAGATCTCCCATATCTCCGGGCTGCGTGGGGCATAGTTGGAAAATTGTCGTTTGGTCGTTTGGTAAAGAGGAAAGAAAACTACGACGATGGAGGGATCTGTCCTGTTTGTGTTAATTGTGGTGACGGTCGGAGGTGTCGCGAGAGCTTTGCGGATAATCGACTCACGTGTGTACGTGTGCGCTCTGTAACTAATTTCACTAATACTAACCCTTTTTTCTTTCCAGACATGTCCTACAAGCCGCGCCAGCCCGTTAACGAGGGTAAGTGTTGTCAATCATAATACGCGCGCTAATGATATGTGGCAGTCTAAATTGGGCGATAGTTTCGTGTCCGTTTGAATTTCGGCTTCGAGCGCGCTTTGTACAAACGCTACATTACGATAATATTGAGTCTCCAAATTAACAGTAAGACGCTCGTGAATTTCGCGCGCGGTCCCTCGGCCAATCCTGCCGGCTCTTCGTTGGTTTGCTGCTGTTAATTAATTACGATTAATTACGAGTACGAGTGTGTACGTCTCGTAACGCTAGAAAGTATCGTCGCTGTGGAGGAGGAAACTTGATCGTCGCGATGAATTACTCGCTCCTGAATCCTCGCGACTAAAGCGCGCGCACTCGCTTTCCATTCCCGCGGGCTCTTTCCGCTGCAGATTCTCCGCTGCGGACTCGAGACCGTTTCCATCCGGGCTAAACACACGCGCGTTTGTGCACGAACACGGCGGAAAGAGCGGCCGAATAAAAACGTCAACTTCCACTTCGCCGGTAATGCGCGCACCGCTTCTACCTCGCCAGAATTCACCGATACTCCCCCCCTCTCTCTCTCTCTCTCTCTCTCTCTCTCTCTCTCTCTCTCTCTCCCTCTACCTCTTTCTCGCCGCGAGGTGGATTTCCTGGCGAAATCGCAGATTTAGATAGCTCGACACGCGACGTTTAGGGACGTGTTATTCCGAAGAATAACCCGACGGGGAATGCGGGTCGAGCGGTGCCTTTCAAACAGGCAACACAGCTCAATTACACGGAACGCAGTGCCTCGCATACCGTGAAATTGCGTTATCGCCGCTAAAACGATCACGATAACACGCGCGTTTCGCGCTCGCGTCCCGCAGTGCCGATCCGCCCCGGCCTTCCTTCACGATCGCCCTCCCTCTGCCCCTTAAACCGGGCAGCCGCCGAACAATTTTCATAGAGAACGCATATTTTTTTCGCGATCTCCCTCAACGCACCGCCGCACGGTATTTCTTAACGGCGTTCAATTCGCATCGTTATTCCGCGCAAATCGTCACGATTCATTCGCCGCTCGCGAAATTCGATTGAGCGAGCGAGCGAGAGAACGAGAAGCAGAGAGAGAGAGAGAGAGAGAGAGGGAGAGGGAGAGAGGGAATTAGCCACATAATTCGCGATGCCATTACAGCGACAATTGCGACGAGCGGCGCTGTGTACGCAAGGTACGCGCGCGCGTAATAATTAGTACACGAATGTGTTCGGACGTAACAGAAAGGGGGAAGGGGTGGAAGAGCGTCAGTGATAGCGCAAATTTTGCGGCATCCTTCTAATCGGAGCTACACAACGCTCCGAAATACTGCAGGCCGCACATTTGGAAAGCAAAAAACTTCGTCACGTCAGGAAATCTCTTCGCTCAGGATTTTCCGGGGGATTTTTTAAGGAGCCTAGCGGGAGCCGCTCTCTTCGGAGTTCCGCTACTTTGAAATGTGGAATTGTAAAAATGTCATTCGCAAAATGGAGACAGTGTCGTTAAGCCCCGGCGACGAGATATCAAAATTCCCGATACACCCATCCTGAATCGCTTTTCTCTCTCTCTCTCTCTCTCTCTCTCTCTCTTACTCCCATTCCACACACGCGCACGATACGTACATACACGCGTATTTGGATAAAATACAAACACAAACAGTCCTTAGTAAAACATAACACGCCGGAAAATTTCTCGCTCACTACCGATGTTTCCGGCGGTGCTCGTTTCCCGCGGCGATGTACGTGCATCGCATACGCAGATATTGACACAGTCTATTTGGTATTTCCGAGCTCGCTTCCCCGCGCCTTATTTTTCACAGTCACTGCCGAAGTAATCCCCCGAGTGCGTGGCGAGGGTGGGAGCGGGAGGGGGACGGTGGCGACCGGCGCGGCCCTTTCGAACGTCGCGCGCTTCTCGTTCACCAAACACGAGATCGGCCGTCAAACTACCGGATATCCCGTCGCTCCGGCGATTATTTACATTCGAATATGTATTTTTTTCCTTTTCCGCCTGGAAACGTCACCGGGCGTACACACGCATCTTCCTATCTCCCTTTAACTTGTCGAATCGCTACAATTCCGACTGTATCCGTTACCGCGCGCGGGCCGGTTACTACTATTACCGCGCCTGTTCTCACGTTACTCACTCTCGTTACCGTGCCTACTCTCGTTAGCGGGAGAGATCCCGCGAACATCGCCTTCTGTACAACGCGCGCTGAAATTAACTGCCATTGCCGTCCCGCTCTCGCACCACCCCGCCTCATGTTCTTCGAGCGATCCGAAATTCAGCGAACGCGGCTGAACGACAGAGAAAACAACGGCGCGCAACAACAAAAGGAAGAGAAGCGAAGAAAAAGGAGGTTGTTCGGTTCGAGCGAGAACTTTCTCTCAATTAAGGCGACTGATTGAATCGATTTTAACCCTTAATATCCTGAATTAATTTATCCAAGACCTTCTTACTAAATTTTCGTCTAATCAAATATCTTTTGGCATAATATAAATATGAGGAACAAGAAAATTAATTTTGTAACAATTTAATGATCTTAAAGTGATACTTATAAGTACTGACAGAAATGTGAAAATGTAAGACGCAGATAAAAAAGATCCAAAACTTATGAGCGCTTATATAGAGCGGCGCTTTTAAAATTAAATATACCGTCAGGATATAAAGGGTTAATTTAACGCGTAGTCACTATAGCGCGAGAACTACACGGTAGCTACTAAAACGTCGTCGGGGGTGGCGGCGGCGCAGTCGAACGAACCGTACTTACTCACACGTGCCGCCTTATCAAAATGTATCGCCATTTCCTTCGTTCTTTATGGAATCTTAATGGCAGCGCTCGGTGGGTGCGCCCCGCGCACGGCGGAAGCTATAAAGACACCGGTACGTACGCCAGCTTCTCCGTTATCTAATCCGCTCTGGTCGACGTTGCGTTCGAGGGGGAGGAAAGAGACGAAGTAAAGAAAATAGGAAAATAGCGTATACAGCCGACGAGCGAGAAGGGACCGCGGCACGCGAGGTGACAAGCCAGGGGTAGCGAGGGTAACCGAGGAGAGAGGGGTGGCGAGCAGATACGCGTAGATCTCGCGAGGGCCCGAGGCCGCGCGTCATTCTGTCTCGGTGATTACGGACGGCTTGTCGACGAACGCGTTAATTAACGGCGCCCCGGACTGGGAGTTAGTGAAATAACGGACGGAAGGGACTCTGCGCGTCCCGAGAGCTCTCGACGTTCTGGTACTGCCGTGTGATCGGCGTGTTTGGCGATGGGTTCTCTCTCTCTCTCTCTCTCTCTCTCTCTCTCTCTCTCTCTCTCTCTCGCTCTCTCTCTGTCTTTCTCTGGCTTCACAAGTATGCAGCAACATATGACACGCGTGTAATAACAACACAGACGCGTCTGCAAAAGCGGAAACGCCGACGGTCGCCTTCGAATCGGCCGGAAGGTGGACGCGCGATTCCCGAGACGCAGTCGTGGAATCGTTTTCACAAAGAAGCGCGGGATTTCAGCCTTTGATGTCGCTCTTTCTCACTCTTTCCTTCTTTCTTTTTCTTCCTCTCTGCCTCTCTCGCGTCGGGATTCCATTACCGCATGGAATGTATCCCGATAGGTACTTACGGTAAAGAGGCATCTCGATTGATCAACGAAGCCACTACGCCGGGGTCTCTCCGATTTCTCTCCCCGGCGTCCCTCGATAATTAACTCTCGGTTAGAGCGAAGCCCACCTTATTATTTTAGAAAACGGCCCCCAATGAGTTTGATCTTTAATGCCTTCGATAGTGATATCTGCGAAAGACTCTTCCCCCCCCCCCTCCGCTTCTTGGGGGAAAATTGAATTCCATTGAAGGAGTCGAGTTCCGATCGGATCGCGAAGGTATTTATCCGAATGTCAAATTATCAATAATCTCTCGACGCGCGGTCCCACAGTTTCCTCGTGTAATACGCGACGCGATATGCAATTCCCGAGAAGCGAAGTCGAGATCGAGGGGAGCGCGACGGGGAAGCCGCGCCGAGCAAACGAGAAGGAATACGCTCCTTCACGCGCTCTCCGCGGGGATTGCCACTCGAGGTGCTGCCGATTCTTTCGAACCACCACTTCGGTTATCATCCGTTTATCAACAGTGCATTAATCACAGAGGCATTAACGGTGCTCACATGTGCGCACCCCCCGTTCCCTCGTTCACAATTGCGTCTGCTAAAGTTCGGAAGCTCGTATCTTGCCGGTAATTAGTGTCGAGTACGCGTCAATGGATGCTGCTAGACGTACAATTAGCCGCGAATGCGCAACGAACGCATATTCATGCGTACGCAGCCTGTCGACATGCTCTCTCTCTCTCTCCCTCCCTCTTCTCCTCTCTCTCTCTCTCTCTCTCTCTCTCTCTCTCTCTCTCTCTTTCTCTCTCTCTCTCTCGCTCCCTATCTCCGCCTCTCCCGCAATGTTCTTCGGAGATAATATAAGCGACACTCGGCCGATGGAATTAGTCGGATAGGACAGGGCGCCGGGAACATTGCACAGTCGCGCTGTTATTCGCGGCGAAGTTACGCTCGCGGGCGCGCCAAGTAAGATGGGCGCCGTAGCGATGTGCAGTTGAAAATTAACCGCTCGGTATTAGCTTCGATTACGACGGGACGTGCAACGCGACGCGCGCACATATCTGCGTGGTGTATTAATATCGAAATTGTCCGCGACGTGCATTCTCTCTTCCTCTCTCTCTCTCTCTCTCTCTCTCTCTCTTTCTCTCTCTCTCTCTCTCTCTCTCTCTCTCTCTTTCTCTCTTGCTATGTACACCGATTATGTTCGTTATTGCGCTCGACTTCCGTTTATTAACGACGAACGATCGCGCGGCGCGTCGCGCACCGATAAAAATGCAGCCCGGACGAAATTGTTCGTCAATCGGGTTGCGACCTTACCGTCGCGGGAACGAGGCGCGTGTCTGATTCGAATCTCGATATTGATGCATGTTAATATTGTATTTCGACAACGAACTGACAGACTTCCTCCTTTTTTTAACGTCGGAG